ACCTCGGGGAAAATTCGAGGATGTCGCGGAAAATACGATAATGCGCTCGAAATTACCAGAATAGTCATGCACGCCAATCGCAGATGTAAACACTTCCGGCGAAGTCTCCGTGTGCCTCATTTAGGTGTGTTCCGACGTCCCATCCAACCCCTTTACCGTCTACTGACTGTACTTAGTCACGAATAGGTAGATAACTAGGTAGCTTTACCTAGATATCATGTCCTACGGAAGCGTATGAACGAACGCGGTTGCCCGTCTCGGGGAATCGTGTAATTAATTAAACTAAGCTAAGAAGCGTCAAGTTATTTTGAACTCGCTCCGTGTCAACTAACAACTTATATTAACGCGTTCTCTCATCCTCACGGGCTCTCGTTCGCGAATTCGTTCCTTAAGAGACGCACAAGGCGCTCGTAATTTTGTGAGAGGATGACGTGTCTACGATACAAATGATTACTAGCTAAGTAAGAGGAAGATAATCGCTGAGTGCGAATCGTTTTAAATTACGGGAGAATATTAATTAAATGAGAGGATATTATGATAAATATGGGAGGATATTTAAATAAAGTGTCAACTTTAAAAGATTGCATGGATGTTGTGAAATAATCAAGTGAACCATTAGTTAGAAGTCTAGTATTTCAGTGAGAAGGATATATTGATTGTTCTTTAGAGAGAGGGAGGGTCCAGAATTCCTGGCTGAGGCAGTATTAACAATTGGAACACAGAGTCGATTTGAGGTAGAAGGTGGATTCGCCGCGTACAGGTCAATTACACTTGCATACGGGTCAGTACGAGGGGTTGTCTATCCGTTTCGCTGGCAGGCGCATGTACTCGTGTGCGATCTCAGTAGGCCTTGGCGGAATGCTTCACTTGGGCGTTTTCTCTCCTGTGAAGTTTACGTTCCAAGTGAGCATTCCACGAAGGCCTACTCAGGCCGCGCACGACTACGCGCGCCTGCCAGCGAAATGCATAAGCAAACCGTCGTACTGAGTCGTAAGTGCAACGTCATCTTGTACATTGCAAATCGGGAAAATATTCGGCTCGCTGACACTTTCAGTTATTAATATCTTCCCACAATTTGCGATTATACGCGCTTACGTTACAGCAATCGGCTCTTACAGGCCTTAAGACCAAATCACACTAACGATTAGATGATTGGCAATTGAAGATTGGAACTTTTGACCAATTGGAACAAAGCAAGCTAAGGCTGAAGCTTGTTGATTCGTTAAAATCTAATCTTTAATTGTCAATCGTTAATCGCCAGTGTGATTTGGCCTTTAGGGCCTCCACACATAAATTGACATAATAGTAACGTAAGACGTACCGTAATTGACCAATCATATTGAGAATCGTCGAAACGTAAGGTCGCCATTTTGATGACTCGATTGTAATTGGTCAATTCTTACGGTATGTCTTACGTTACGGTTACGGCAATTTGTGTGTGAAGGCCCTTAGAGCCAACGCACAAGCACATCCGTAATATGTTACGTTACGTTAAGTACTGACAATGCAATGGCCATACCTGTACGTAAAATTAAGTAACTTAAGTCAACGAACACAAAGAAATCCGTAAACTTATCATGTTACGGATGTTCTTGTGCGGAGGCTCTTATCCTTCTTTTACCTAACCTATACTTCAGAAGCTGTTGCGCATTGTTCAGTACAAATGATCCCATCGACAACGACGAGCGCGTAGCGCACAGGGAGACTCACCCGGTCGCGAGAACGAGCCCGACCCTTAACAAACGCCATTATTAGCCGCATTGATTTCGGCTTAATCAACTCCTATCGAGCAAATCGCCCACGGGGTTTGTGTATTGGTGTACCAGCGGTGAGCGCGATCACGCGATTCGATGGATCCAGAACAAACGGCAGAAAGGACACAGATGTGCAAACCTGATCGACGATTGTCCGTCCGTCCGTCCGATCGATCGACCGACCGACCAACGAACGCTCGTGTATTCGCCAAATTAAACCAACTAGCCGCCAAATCACAGCTGATAAGTCGCGCGTTTGGGAATGCAGCTGTGTGTGCCTCTCTGTGCGTGGCGGAGAGTCGCAGAGCCAGGGTTCTGTAGGTGACCGGCGATTGGATGGACGGACTGTGCGGATGGCGGCGACGACCGGGGTGATTCATTAAAACACCCGGGAGTTCTCGCGTCCTCGGTGAATTGACTTGGCGATGCCGCGGGTACGGGCAAAAAGGGAGGGAAAAAAAGAGGAGAGAAAAATAACGAGGCACGTATACGAATAACGACGACACAACTACACCAACGGCACGAGCGAGCCAGGTCTGGATCCCGGGGTCTGGCCTGCGAAAACTAACTTCGGGATTTGTGTGTTGTGATTCCCGATTTATTTTTACGACATATATATTCTGCGGGAGATGTCAAACGTCGCCCGTGTCCGCGTTTGATTGATAGAATCGTGGTGGGGAGGCAGTGCTTCAAAATCCAGGTTACACATAAGTTGCGACATGCAACGAATATTTTAAGCCGCGACAGCCGGTATGAAAAAGAGACAAATAGCTTTTCGGTTAACTACGTGTATCTGTATACAACGACCGTTTTTGCGCTCGCGGGAAAGAATATCGGCGCGCATTCCGCCGCGACGTGTGACACATTGTCCGATGCTAAAAGCGGTGCGTCACATATTTACATTTTGCCAACACTTACACGATCGACGAGACACGACCGCGCATTCCACTATGCCTACAAGGCACAGCGATCAAAGGAGTGAATCAATCATTTTCTTGCTCGATTATTCAGCAAATTAATCGAGCACTAATCAAAACGCACACGGAAGAAGCAGCTCAGTTAGTGCAGTTAGATCTTCCTCCACCTGGGGACCAGGTGGGAACCAGACAAAAACTCAATTGTCAGTTATTCCAACCGAGTTCTAACGCAACCGAACGTTTGGGAAAATTTTTTTGGTCACGGTAACAGAGATACTGTTCGTCAGTGAATTTTTCACCTCCCCACTCAGTTACGAAAATTAAAAATTTTTTTCCATGTTCGCCATCTTACGCTCCGCGTTCTCTTGAACTGAATTAGTAAAAAAAAAAATGCCTGGTTGCTGTGGTATACATATTTTTAATATCAATAATGCGAAATCTAACTTTCTGCGTGTTGTGGTGATAGAATTAACGGCTTCCGTACTACTCGTATTTGCGTGCAATGACATAGTCTATATTTGCGCACTGCATCAGTAACGGTCGCTATTAAATGATCCTTTCAGTGAGACCTTGCTGATTACGGTGCTATATTTATAACTGAACCGTCAGTTACAAGTACAGCATTTAGCATGAAAAATGCACCGCGATTGTACTTTAGAAAACGCAGTTTCGCGCTCGAAGTCTCACATTAATCGTACTTTTGGAACTCTGGGACTCTAAAAATTCACTCCAGCTCAAGCATTCTGCTCTTCGTAATATTTCACTGAGTGTATCGCGCGCGCAGTGCACGGTGTAGCTTCGGCCAAACGATCGGAAAACCGAGTCTGTCTCGCGGTCGAAACTGTAAGAGATGTCTCCCTGTTATTAAGTTTCGTTCGCGGAACGAGATAGCGGACGATTCCGCCGGGAAGAAATCGATGGTCACTCCCCTTACCGTCGTCGTCGTCGTCGTCGTCGTCGTCGTCAACACGACTGACTCATCCACGTGTTCCGTCTTACCTGGCCAATCAATTTCCTGGCTGCGCGACGTCTCGCGGAGGAGGAGCGACACACGGACGCCCGGGCCGGGGCCTGGCCGTTTTATACGACTTCTCTCCCCATCTCGCGTCTAAGGTATCCTACGCACAAAGAAGCCCGCACCCTTCACCACCTCCTCCGGCGTAACCGAGCCGCTTTTGGATCGCTTTACGATCAATTACCGGTGGCGAATTACCAGCCGGCGGCGGCGGTGGCCGACCGGTCCCGATATCGGACTTAATTAACTTAATAATGATAAATAATAGTATTTACGAATAATCCAATTACGATCCGTGCGAACCTCTGTACGTTTACATATTTCTGCGGGCTAATATTAACGTGCAAATTAATGATGCGTGGCTAATATCGGACGGTATTTGCGGACGTACGCGAGCGCCCGTTTGTTTTTACCTGTCTAATTGACGATTAATTGACGCGACGCGATGAAACGTTATCGAAATCGAGCGTTACTCTAGCTGACGTTATCCGCTGGAAACGAGAGAACACCTAAACGTTTCCTTCCGGTCGCTGGTGAACGCTGCTGCTGGTAGTGAAACACGCGAAAAACTCGAGCACCACTGCCGCCACCGTGTGCGCACCGAAAGTAAACCACCGAAAGTGGCTTCCGCTTTTTTCTTCCCCCTCCAGTGAAAAAGGGAAGAATTCCGCGAATCTCTGGGCAAAGGTGAGGCGGCGAGGAATTTTTATACAGTGCAAAAGCCAAAAGTACCCCGTTGTGCCCGCTGCTGTACGCGTCGGACTCAACAACGAAAAGTATTTATCCGTGGAAAGTATTCCAGAGAAGAAGTAGTACTCCATGAGATTCTTCCGGGTTCTCGTACTATGGTATGTAATTTAGAAACAAACACGTTTATAAACGTAATTTTAACGAAGAGCAATATAATAACAAGTAGAATAAGTAAAATAAGAGTTACAGCTTCTTGTCGAAATTCCGCACACGTCTCTTTGGAAATTTTGGATCCTTTCCCAAATTCTTCCGTATTCTTTCTGTCCGAAGGCGTTGGCTTACTATATATATATATACACACACATATTCAGAGTGTCTGATATGCAAGACACGCAAGACCACATGTGTAAGTGGATTAGGTCAAACTGAGCAAAAAAGTCCCCTACCATTTTCCAGATAATTATGTGAAAATTTTGAGTTATTAATTAAAGAAGATTGGTAAGTGGGTTAGGCACTACATATATAAAAAATAAAAATCTTTTTCCCCACTTAAAATTAATAAAGAAACTATTTTAAAACTCTAAGACAAACTTGGCCGAACTAACGACAGATTATCTTTCGCAGATAGCCGCCGCAGCGTAGGAGGAACACGAGGAGAGAGAGATCAGAGGAACGGATGACCACAGTGAGCGCGCGGTCGCGCGCCAATTAAAAAGATATGGATACGGTAATTACGAGGCCGCGCCGGCGACTAGGGACACAAGGCAATTGGGCGCGTTAAATGTCCCCGCGGGGATTCACGTTCCGGTCGAGGCACTCGCGAATCTGGGATGGCACCGAGCAGCAGCAGCAACAGCGATATCGGATCAAGTTCGCTTAACAAGCCCTGTGTCGTCGCCGTTATCGGTCGCGCAAGTAGATAGATTTGAAATCGAGTGAACCGCGGGGGACAACAACACGGCGGCAACGAAGTTAGCACGGCGAAATAATCCGGCGCTATTGGATCGCGCGCGCGCGCGTCCCGTATATAATGGAAGTACGTGAGGAGGCTGGAGCACGGTAGTGGACATTCACCGCGCTTGTCGGGCTTGTCGTCGGTTTGCGCACGTTGCGACGAAGAAATTGGATTCGCAATATCGGGATCCGACCGAGACGACGACGACGCTGTGTTCCGTGCGCAAGGCCGTAACGACAGTTCATCATCAGAGAGAGAGAGAGAGAGAGAGAGAGAGAGAGAGAGAGAGAGAGAGAGAGAGAGAGAG